CAAGAATGTAACATCATTTTACATCAGGGGCTAGTGAGGTCTTTGTTATTAAAGTTACACAATTACTTAAAAATTTGTGTTGCATCTGTTTTGCTAATCAGTATTGTTAATTATTTATAATTACTATGTACAAATTTGTATTTGTTATGAGTAGGTACAATATATTTTCTCTATTTTCCCAATTTATTTAAGATAAACTTTCTTAAATCAGTGAGAGCTAATCTGCAAATCTCTAGAAGTTCTTCTTATATGTGCATACAGAGCCCAAGTTCATGATGCAATTGTTTTAGACTAATTCTTTCCAACAAATGTTGACATGAAAAAATATATCCATTTTTTTTCTTTCTCTACATTCTCTCCCCCTCCCACACACACACTGAAAATCAACATGAAATTAATAGAGATATCGTAATAGTGATAAACCTTTTAAAAATTTAAGGAAATTAAACTTTGGGTAATCTTTCTTAAGGGGAAGTTTCACATTTAAGTTTTAATTCTAAGTGAAAGAAACTAGAGAGACCACAATTTTCAATTCATATGCTACAGAGATAGTTAGAAGAAGAGTATATATCAGAAAAAAAGTAAAAAACTAGTGAAAAAACCCCCAATCTACCAAACTGCCATTCACTGTAGTCACAGATTCATGCAGATGGATAGAGTCATTAATTATTAATGGTAAAGATAAATAATTTACATATTATATATATTTGGTATGCCCAAATAATATAAAGCAGTGACTTCAGAGTTGAAAGTTTGTCTGACAGTAAGCAATTAAAAGTTAGTGAAATAAAAATAAAATTTCCATTTAGGCAACATATATGTTTGGGAAAAAGTAGTGTTATGTATGACTGCATGATTAAACCAGATCTTTTAATATCCATTAGGATTCTCGAACTGAAGCCAAGAATAGTTGGTCTATAGTTGCTTCTCCCTGCTATCTTATTAAAGCATATTATCTTAAATTCCTGATTCATGGTAAAATTTATGGATATTCCCACTGGGATACTCAAAATTCTTAATTTGTTTACACATTTTGGCTTCTTTCCAGATTTTATGTGAAGAGTAACTGATCCAAGAAACAAACAGGCGGAAATGTCTTTGAATAGCATTCTTTTACTATCAGGTCATACATACCTCCATTCAGTAAAACAGGCAATGAAATTCCTGAACTGGGCAGTTCAATAATACATTTTTAAAACTCAAGAGAATGATCTTCTATTCAAACAAGAAAAGAAAAAAGGAACTATGAACTTAACAGGGTCTTAAAAACACACACAGGATGGAAGAGAAATTCCTTCAAACTATTGAAAAAGTTAGTAACATGCAGATTTTATCACCTATTTCCTTCTCCTCAAAGGGATGTTTTGTTATCCACTTACACTGAAGAGCTTGCTTTCAACCAAATTAAGGGCTCAGATGTAAAGAATAAGAAAGGGGGGGGGGGGAAGCAAAACCTCACATACCAACAAACCAACCAATTTCAATAGCTCATTTTATAATGAGGTAGAACAAAGAACAAAATGGATAGCTCCAGAATGGCAAACCTCCAGAAACCTCATTCAGTTAATCTTCTAGATGCTTTGCCAAACCTTATCCAAATAACCCAATTATTACAGTCTACAGACTAGTGGAAATTCTTACAAAATTGGCTTCCTTGTGGAATCTCAAATCATGTCTCTACTCGGGTCAAAAAGATCACTAGGACTGCCTTGTTGAAGTTTTTACCCCTGGGCTCAACTGCAATTTTGCAAAATGGAAAATGAGGGAATGCCTCCAGGTAGAATTCTGGATGCAGGTTTAGATTTTGTTAAAACCTTAAGTAAAGAACAGCCGCTCCTAGTTGTAATCTAATTCTCTGAAAACCTGTCCAAAGGAGACTCAGAAATTCTGGATTCCCAAACTCAGTTTGGCTTTCAGGGTGTTGAGTGATCAGGAGTCCTTAATCTCTGCATACGCCTTTTTGCAACTGTCACATCACAAGGCTGATACAGACCTACCTCAAAGAGACCCTGCAAAGATTAATTAAGGTTAAACTGGCAGGAAAAAAAAAATGCATTTGACAAGTCAAGCTTTACCCATGCTGCTAAACAGACCCATATGTTTTAAGAAGTGCTCAAATTATTTGGTAGTATCTTCAACTAAGTAGAGAATATATTTACATAATGCATTTCAGCTGTGAAGCCATTTTTAAAAATCAAAGATTCCAATATTTCAGATGGTAAGAGAAAACAATCTGGCTCTGCTCAGGTCTAGCTCATTATACAGGGCACCATTCACCCCCAAAACCTCCCATCAAGCAAATATTGTGACATATGTGCACAGGATTGTCTAATGGCCAGGGAAGACTTCATACTTTGTCATGCCTTGGAGTTTCTCTAGACTTTTCTTTCTCCTATAAACATGATGAATGGATTTCTACTTCTCTTTTCATGTCTTCTCATGTTGCAGAGGCACAAATGGCTACATGCACCTCTGGTTCATTAAGAAAGTACTTCTGCTTTTTCACCTTACACTTATGTTATGCAAGTATATCTGACATTCACTGTCTATGGAAATTCCTACAATTTTAAAACCCTCAGAGATTGCATTGATAGTAACTGCACATCAGTATCAGTCTTTATAGATTTCAATGCCACAGGCAGATCCAGTGATGTTCCAAAATATGTTCATGTATTGTGGGTGATGATGGGCAAAGGAAATGAAGAGTACAGAAATACTGAAAAACAATGGGATTTAGCTTTTTTTCCTTTCTTGTTATTAGAGAAGACTCTCTTTGAGAGTCATTCTTTAACACATCTTAAAATACTATGTTTTTGTAATACTGCATGTCATTGTGTTCAGGAATATGAACTCTAAAGTGAGAAAGCCCTTTTTGACTCTCATTTCTCCCACAGGCTGCTTGGGTGACTCTGACTCTGAGTAAGTTATTTAAAATGATACGCCTTGGTTTCTTCATTTTTTTGAAATAGAGATTGGTATACAACCCAACACATAAAGTTATTACGAAGAAAAAAAAAAGTTAGGTACACACAAAGTACTAAGAATAGTTTCTAGAACATAGTACTCATTCAACAAATGTTAGCTATTTTCACTATCATTTTAAATGCCTGAATTTTGGGGCACCTGGGTGGCTCAGTCAGTTAAGTGTCTGACTGCAGCTCAGATCATGATCTCATGGTTCATGGGTTTGAGCCCAGTGTCGGGCTCTGTGCTGACTGCTAGCTCAGAGCCTGGAGGCTGCTTCAGGTTCTGTGTCTCCCTCTTTCTCTGACCCTCCCCTGCTCATGCTCTCTTTCGCTCCCGCTCTCTCTCTCTCTCAGAAATAAATAAAACATTAAAAAATTTTTTAAATGCCTGTATTTTAATTCAATATCATTTTAGGCCCAAAAAGTTTAACCTCCTTTATAAGCTTTTCTAAAACTTGCAGGTCTATTTTTCTTTAGTAACTATTAAATAGAGGGAAGTAACCATCAGGACCTTCTAGTACTTTGGGATCATTACTCTAACCAACATTTCTCCTCAGGAGCATCCTACTTAGCAAAACATGTGTCTCCAGATACATCCTAGATGTGTGAGGAAAACGTATCACACACTGCCACATACGTTCTTTCCTTGGTTACCACTTGGTGTGCAGTAAAAAGTTTCAAAAGTGAGTATTAGCAAACAACAATTAGCAAACAACAGCATTGCTCTAGCTCACCTGTCTGGTGGAGGTTAAATGAATTAGCCTGAGGAGCCCTGTTGATCTCACTGGTCCTCTTCATCCTTTTATTAATTAGCTGGACATCAGCTGATCTGGGCTTCTGTTTTCCTTTTGGAGACAGCAGGCCACGCAGGCATGTTCCTCTCATGGTCGGGGCAAGAGCAGAAAGGAGCAAGCGGCAACATGCAAGGTCTCTGAAGTTAGTCTCAGGCATATATACAAGCCACTTCTGCCTCACTGCTAGTCAGAGCAGGTTACACGGTGAATCCCAAAGTCAAGGAGGACACATATATTCCTCCTCTGGAAGCTAAGTGGAAAGAAAGGGTATTTCTGAACCAGAATTCAACCCACTACCCCCATGCAGACAGTTAAGGAATCACAGCACTTCATTCCACTGTGTCTGAATACAGTTTTATATTCACAGCAGCCACTGTAATTGCTAGGAAACCTGCTAAATACGAGGAAAAGAAGAAAAAAACTAATTGAGACTTCTGATTTTGCACATTTTTAATATATTTTACAGAATAATAAATGTGGATTTTAAATTCTTTCTATAAAACATTACTTTGTTATTTTCTGAGAGTAAATGTTATATTTCGTTATTCAATTGTAATTGAGTTAGTTTTAAAAATATGTTTATATACACCAAATAGCAATAATAACTGCCATTAGATATTAAAATAACAACCAACCAGTTAGTTATTGATCAAACACATATTTTGTTTTATAAAGAGAATATATTGAGAATCTTTAATAGTAGTGTGTTGCTTTCATTAAAAAAACTGTACATTTTCCACAATTTTAAAACTAAGAACGTACAAGAACATATATAAATGGTACAGTGCCAAAGCCACCTACACAGCCAGTTCTAATTGACTTATTTTAAACCATACAAATAACTTCTAAAGTAATGTGTGTTGTTTCATTTATTCTGTTAACTTCTGAATTACACTTTTAAAATAAGTTCAATCTTTCTTCATCAAAATGGCTTTAACACATTAATTAAAGTATCACTTATTTTTCCTTGGCCTAATTAGTTTCAACATTAAAAGGAAATAAAATGGGCACATTTAATATAAGAAAATGTTCTACTGGACTGTAATTTTTATAAAATGATCACTGTATTTAGATACAGGAAGTGAAGTTTGATACTGCTAACAATCCAGTATGAACGTGAGAGTCTGTCTGTTAAACCAATGCAAAACGCTTAAAGTGACCACAGAAAGAATGGCTCTGAGTGGAATACAGGGGTCTAATTATTACCTGTAAATTCACATGCTTGCAACAAGTTATGTCTCAAGCTGAGCAGTTTAAAAAAAAAAAAAATGTGTACCTCTTACCAGTATGTCATTAACCAAACCAATGATCACACTGTTAAATACTTTAAAAGGCTAACTAAATTACACTCAATGAACTAGTAAACATATAGAAAGAAAAGAGTCTCTCCACAGAACTTTCCATAAGTAGAGGACAATTTTAGCAGCCCTGAAACATAAATTACTATTATTTTTAAAGATATTTGGGAAAGTAAAGTGAAAATAGACAGTTCCCATGAAAGTAATGAAGTTTACAGAAGCAGTGATGAAAATGTAACGATATAGTTTGCCTCTGGATCTCTTAAACAATAAAAACAACTAACCAGTTTATCTTTCTCTCTTGGCCAATACTTCTCTGCATTCCCTTCATCCCTGGCTACAATTACCAATTATTCTATGTTGGAAAGATGACTAGAAAGCCAAGAGCTTCAGGACTTTCCTCTGGTTAATGGGATGATCTGCCCCTCCTTGTCCATTTCTCCAATGTGCCTTGGGAGCCTCTGACTTACTTCCCACAGCTCCTCGGCTGGACGTCCTTTGCCAGCATTATGATTAAACAGGGAGATGAGGTTCAAACTTACAAGTGGTCCTGAGTTTAATCCCTACTTTTTGTTAGTAGGTAGCCACATGGCTGTGGACAAGGCAGTTAAAGATCCCTGAACCTCCAGTTCCATCTAAAGCGCTCAAGGATGCGAGAAGACGTCTTTAAATTATTGTCAGGGCTGTGAATCACTTTGTAAACTGTAAAGAAAAAGATTAAATGCTATGAAAAGGTGATGATGATGATGGTGATTATTTCAGGAACAACTTAACATTAACTAAAACTTCATTACACTAAATATTCCAATTGCCTCCAGTAAAGCCATAGTCATTGCTCTTCGATAAATTCTTGTCCGGTGTAAGAGTCCATTATTAAGTTGAAATCTAAGGTAACTTGACCAGCATTCAATCAATACAATAATTTTGCTGTGCCTTAGATATGCCATTTCCTACCTTTTACTCAAAGGCACTTTCTCTTTAAAATCCCGATAACATTTCCCTATTTGCTTTTATAAGCACTTTCAAATTCTTAAAACATTTTCACCTGAAGTCTTAAAAAGGTGCAGGTGTGAAACTTTCACAACACAGCCAACCCACCATCTTAACAATGACATAGGCATTCCAACAAAAAATCTACACATTATTCATATATTGTGATCCTCAAGAATTTGAATTATATCACTTACTTTATATTTCTTAACATCCCTAGAAAGAGAGAAACAAAGTGGCAAGCTCAGAAATTTAGATCTAAGCCACAATGAAACAATACATTTCATTTGGGAGAATGAATTAATAGTGATAACTCCATGTTCATTATATGCTACTCACTATTACTGAAATGTAAAACATACTCTCCCACTAATATAGATCCTTGAGAAAAATAAGGAAAATCATCCAACGTGTTAAGAAGAAATTCCTTAAGATAGGTACCTCACAGTCTATCTTCAACTGATAATGTCTCATGGAACTTTTATAGTTTCCACATGTAACCTAAGCCTTGGAATCTGATCTAATGTGTTTTTATAAAATAAGAGTAAATAAAGAATAAAAGTTATCTCCAATGATTAGATGTACATAACTGTAAAATTTAGTGTTAGGGAAAATCATTTACACATTTAAGATGCATATACCAGGGGACATTTGAAAGATTGAGAACTTGACTTAAAACAGCACCAGTATCAAAAAATAATTCAATTCTTGGAGGTGCAATGACTCCCTCCTTTTCAGAAAAGACTAACCTAGGATTGACCAAAATAATTTCACTTTTATGAGGATTTCCAGTCTTTTCAACAAATTCAGAAAAGTCAGAGACCACTGAGAGTAAGTCAAAATTATTTTTCATAAGTCAAGGAAAACATACTGTTTTAAAATGGAAAATAGGAAAGAATTACATCTTCTTTACAGACCTAGAGTAACGTGAGCCCAACGGTGAAAATATCTCAACCAGAGTTCCCTATTATCTCCTCTTTATTTTTTAAGGTGTGGAAAATTAGAATACAGGTCAAAATATCACATGCTAAGAGGACAATTTTAGTATTAAGATAATCCTAAATCTTATCTATTAGTTTCAAGACAATGTCATCTACTAATTAACACAAAAATAAGATCATAGTTGTTTTCTGAATTCTCATTTCTAGGATGATAAGCTCATCCATCATTATTTCTATTCAATCTTTTATGCCTTTGTGCAAAGATTATGTGAAGGCAATTACTTTCCATTTGCCTCTTATCTGATTCAAACAATTTATATTTGACATGCACAAAAGTATATTTTTACTTCACAGATATAAACAGGGATTCACTTTTTTAACCCAAACATCACATCGTACCAAGTATGAGACATAAAAGACATAAACATGCTATCACATATAATAGGGAGAGGAGCACATCAGAGACACCCAGATATATGTTTCTAAAATTCAGTAAGTAATTATCTCTGTGTTCTTCATGCTATCAGCAGCTGACCAACAAGTCCAGAATTTCTTTCTTTGATTAAGGCAGCGATAATCGTGGCACCTTGCCTTAAACTTTCCTGTAGCTTCTGCTCATCCTAAGGGGGAAAAAAAAAAAAAAAAGAATAAAGTAAGTTTTAAAAGATGTCACACATTAAGTTTAATGTTACTTTTATTTTTTAAAAAAATATTTCTTCAATTTTAGTTTTTTCATCAGCTTTATAGAGACATAATTGACATATAACATTGTGTAAGTTTAAGGTGTACAATCTAATAATATAATATACATATACATTATGAAATGATTACTACAGGAAAGGTAGTTAATCCATCACCTCACACAGTTACCACTGTGGGGGTAGTAAGGATGTTTAAGATCTATTCTCTTAGCAACTTTCAAGCATACAATATTGTTACCTATAGTCACTATGTTACACATTAAAATCCCAGAACCTATTCACCTTATAAGTAAAGTTTGTATCCTTTGATCAACATCTTCCCATTTCTTCCCCTCTTAGCCCCTGATAACCACCATTCTATTCTGTTTTTATGGGCTACCTTTAAAGGTACGCTGCTCTCTGTGGTAGCCATTTTATAGAATTCAGGCCACAGTCACTGGTATATACTTGGTCCCTCAAATAAAGAAGAAATGTTTTAAAAATTTTTTTAAGGTTTATTTATTTTTGAGAGACAGAGCATGAACTGGGAGGGGCAGAGAGAAAGATAGAATATGAAGCAGGCTACAGGCTCTGAGCTGTCAGCACAGAGCCAGACAGAGGGCTCGAACCCATGAACAGTGAAATCATATTCTGAGTCCAAGTCAGAGGGTTAACTGACTAAGCCACCCAGTGCCCCCAGGGAGAAATGCTTTCACAAGCACTTTTCATTATACACAACAAAGTATCTGTTGAAGATACCAAGAACACTCTGACACAGTTTCAAATGCTAACAGTATGAAACAAAAGATTTTCCCTTAATCCAATATCTGACCAACTTTGGCTCTTCACTCAAGTGTGAATAGTTCATCGATGATGCAAGCCTTTCCTTCATCTCGTTTCTGAGTGTTCTCCAACAACAGACTTTGTTGTAAACTGAATATGGGTTGGGAGGAAAAATAAAAACGGCTTGTTGTTTGTGAAGTAAGGATCAGGCAAATTAGTGAAATGAGTTTCTCACAAGTTGCTAAAATGTGGTTTTGCCTTTGAAATCATATTGCCTATGAATGTATGTTTACTCTGATGATTTAGGCTTTTTGAGGGGATGAGGGGATGATAGTAGGAAGGGAACAACAATGTCAAAACTGAGATAAATCTTTAAAAAGATCTTTGTGTTATGAATTGTGCTAGATTCAAAAAGAAGGACCTGATAACCAATTTCTAAATGTGGGCATCATCCTTAATGCCATTTCCTTTTTTTTTTTTTTTTTTTTTCATGTTTACTTATTTGTCTTTGAGACAGAGAGAAGGAGTTAGCAGGGAGGGGAAGAGAGAAGGAGAGACAGAATCCCAAACACGCTCCACGCTGTCACAGCACGGAGCCCAACGCGGGGCTCAAACTCATGAACTGTGAGATCATGACCTGAGCTGAAACCAAGAGTCCAGCGCTTAAGCGACTAAGCTACCCAGGTGTCTCTTTAATGCCTTTTTCTAATGTTCAGTATATCACAAGTACCTCCTGCTTCTACCTCCTCAATATTTTTTTCAATCCATGAAATCCCCTCAAAGGGCCGCTGCCAGCAAAACATCTCCATCCGAAATTACTGGAATAATTTCATCAACACTCTCTTTAAAGTCTTGCCCTCTTCTTCCCTGTTTCCCACACAGCAATCCAAACAGGTAATGTAAAATATAGATCTGATGGCACTAAACTAACTAAAATCCTTTCAAGGCCACCTTTTGAACTTCAGGATCAAACCAGAACCCTTTACCTTTTTACCCTTCCATCCTCTCATCACTAAATTCTCCAAGCCACACAGAACTGGATAAGATTGCCAGAACAAACTCTTTTTCTAGGCTCTCCTCTCTTTGCACCAGCGAACGTCTTTGCCAGAAAAGCTACCTCACTCCCTTTCTAGCTCAGCTCACCCTAGTTACTCTTTATGGTTTGACCCAGTTATCAGAGGTTGCAAAGTACCCTAACTCCTACCCTCCAGCCCAGATGAGTGAAGAGAATCTCTGTTTCCACAGCTGTGAATTCCTCTGGCATGCTGAATTTGTAAGTCTTTTGAGTTAACCATCTCTTCCACAAGATGATGAGTTTCCTGATATAAAGAATTTTTCACTTTATCTTTGAATATGGAACACTGAATTCAATGCCTAACACATGGTAGCACTCCACAAATTACAATGAACTCAAAGCACAGGAGGCTATATGATAGAGAAATCCTCATCCTTTTAGTTTAACTCATCTGTTAGTAATAGTGACCACTTTTGGTTACTTTGTTTACTTCTATTTTCGCATTTATCAGGAAGCCTGGCAATGGTACAAAGAATATTATCAAAACCTTTCCACTATTATACCTTCACCAGCTCAGAGACCCAAGTTCCTCACCTAAGAGGATGATGTTGAGAGACCACCTCTACTTAAGCCATTCTGTTCCGTCAGTTTCCCAGACTGTACTGTAAGGAGTGGAGCTGGGAAAAACCCACAAAGGGGCTAAATGATCAGTACTGTGCATCTTGCAAGTGAGGTTTTTTTTTAAGATTTTTTAAATTAATTATTATTTTTTAAATGTTTTTATTTCTGAGAGAGAGAGAGACAGCGTGAGCAGGGGAGGGTCAGAGAGACAGGGAGACAGAGAAATTATTATTATTATTATTTTGATAGAGAGCACACAAGGGGTGTATGTGTGTGTGTGAAAGAGAGAGAGAGAGAGAGACAGAGACAGAGAGAGAGACTGATTGAGAATCTCAGGCAGGCTCTGCACTGTCATCACAGAGCCTGATGCAGTGCTTGAACTCACAAAGAGTCAGACGTTTAACCCACTGAGCTGAAGTCAGACGTTTAACCCACTGAGTCACCCAGGTGCACAGATGATGAAAATGAAGGTTTCTCCTTTAAAAATAAACAGAAAAAGACTATCTGTACAGCCTCTTTGAAACCAGTTTATACTTGTGAATAAAGCAGCCGAATAACAAAGCAACAATGGGGAAAAATTGCTTAAGAGCCTAGGGCTACAAAAATCACATTTCCTTATCTTAGAATAAGTCTTCCATCCTCATTTTGATAGTCCCATAACTTACATATTTTTAACTAATGAATTTAATTAAGAATGTTCTCTTAAAGGTTAATTTGTTTGTCCAAATTTTACAGGCATCATGTAGAATGATTTTAAGTCAGTGAGAAGAAACTATTTTATTCCACTGTTTTCCTTCCTGAGCTTACTTTAGTCCTGAAAAATACAGAAATTTAAAAAGTGATTAAACAAGATGGTGAAACACACCTACACTCAGAAAATTATGTACAAAAACTAGATATTCAAATAATGCATGGATTTCAAACTCATCTCAAAATTTCTTATCTCTATAAAAGTATTGCTAATGTAGTTTTGAAAAAGATGCAAATTCACATAGATTTTTTTTGGGGGGGGAGAGAAAATGTGTAAATGAGTGATGGGCAGATGGGGGGGCGGGAGAGAGAAAAGTGGGGCTCAATGGGGGCTTATGTTTTACCCAAAGGAGGACTTGAGCTCCTCGAACTCATAAACTGTGACATCATGACCTGAGCTGAAGTCAGATGCTTAATGACTGGGCCACCTAGGTGCACCTACCAAAATCTTTAAAAAAGCATTTGCTGGGGCACCTGGGTGGCTCAGTCGGTTAAGTGTTCGACTTCGGCTCAGGTCATGATCTCACGATTTGCGGGTTCAAGCCCCACATTGGGCTCTGTGCTGACAGCTAGCTCAGAGCCTGGAGGCTGTTTCAGAATCTGTGTTTCCTCTGACCCTCTAATGTTCATGCTCTCTCTCTCTCTCTCAGAAATAAACATTAAAAAAAAAAAAAAAGGATTTGTTGCTGCCAGTGGATATGCAAACCAGTGTTTTTAATCCCTGAGGAAGTGGGAACACAGAGGCCTTACAGGTGGTCATTTTATTATCATACACACACATACATATATGTGTGTGTGTATATATATGTGTGTGTGTGTGTGTACACACACACACACACACACACACATATATGCATTCCCTGGTATATACCAAGTATTATATGATAAAAAATATTTAATGTTGAAACTAAGTAAGCAAGATCAACATGAATACTGAAAACTCATGTTGAGAGTATGCATTCTTGATCTGATGTAAGGAAATGACATTTAATGCGGTGGTCTTCTTCCCCAAAATCCATAACCACAGGCTAATCATGACGAAAACATTAACATACAAAAAAAAGAAGGGCACCCTACAATACATGTGACCAGTCCTCCTCAAAATTGTGAAATTCATCAAAAACAAGTCTGAGAAACTGTCATAGCCAAGAGGACCCTAAGGAGACATGACAACTAAAGGTAATATAATATCCTGAAATAAGAAAATACATTAGGTAAAACTAAGGGTATGTGACTGAACTAGGGTTTTTGTTGTTAAAAATAGTGGAAACAGGGAGCATGGCATATATGTTCAATTTAAAAATATTTCTCGATTTTAAAAATGTTTATGTGCCAGAATTACAAAACTTGAGTTACAAAGGTAACTTGTGTGTATCAGCCCATTTGTATGTTCCTTAAATAAAATACACTATTTAATAAATTATGCAATTGTTAAGGACAGCACCTCTAGCATGAGTCTACTGGTATTCAAATACAGGCTTTGACAATTTTCAAGTGATCGTGTACAAATTATCTAAGTTTCATAGTTCTCCATTTTTTTTCATCTAAAACAGGGATAACAATATTAGCTACCTCACAGATTGTCTGTGGGGACTATATCAGACAAGATCCATAAATCACAGATTTACAGTAAACATCCATTCACAATAGCTATTAGAATTATGTTATGATGTGCACTAATTTCACCCATGACAGGGTGGCTGATATTATCTTCTTATCATATATGACCATTAAATCTGATGATCTACCATATGTAAAAGTACTGTTGCAG